AAAATGATGAGCACTTTATACGACCAGCAATCCACTTTGAGATCAGACAGAAGAGCCAGACGGAGATCATCTACTAACACGTCATGATAGACCGACCCACGGGACTTGACTATCTTATTCCAGAAACACAACGCAAGGCGTAACCAAAAGTACTGCAAAGGCAACTGAGACAGCTCCCTGTACAACAGCTTGTAAGGTACCTGCTTGAGCCCAGCACAACGTAAACAGAAGTCACGCTGGACCTGGACCATACCATCTTCCAAAGCCAAATCAAAATATGACTTACCAGCGGGTAAAACACCTTTACCTAGCCGCAGGACGGAGACAATCCTATCAGGACCCCAGACCTCAGCACCATAACAGAGAACCGAACGGACCTGGGTGTCGAACGCTTGAAGCCGAACGCGCGCTGCTCCTGCATCATAGGGTTCGCCATTTCTCTCTCGAAATTCACACCAATAAAATCAGGTCCCCTAACTTGCGCTCCATACGAAAACATCGGCACAGCTTAGGGGTACTAATTTTCTTATCTCGACACAGGGCACTGAGGCCAAACGTGACCCGTTTCCCTGCTGCTAGTGACTGTTTGGTGCAGGCTGAGAACTGCGTGCCTGGGCCGTAATGTAGCCCGAGATATCGTGCCGTCTCGTTACCAGCCAGCACCCTCAAACATGCCCCACATAACCGGTACTCGGCTTCCATAAGGCGCTTCTGTTCCCGTGCTGTGCCCCAAAAAATGAGGACCTCACACTTGGCTGCTTCGTGGCCATTACCGTCGCCTTGCAATAGGCCTCGAGGAGTCCGAGTAAGCATTGGGCTCTCTCGTGGCCAGTTGCAACTAATGACACATCATCGACAAAAAAAACAAGTTGGTGAGCTCACCGCCCGCCAGGCTTACACCCTGCTCACGGGGGATGTTCCATCGGTCAGGAAGGCGCACACGGCTGTCGGTATCGTGGGCCTCGATGTAATGAGCGAACACCTCAATGAATAGTCCGAAAAGGGTGACACTAAGGGGGCACCCTTGCTTTATGCCCCGCCCCACGGAGAATTCAGGCCCCAACTGACTACCCAGCTTGACCCGAACCTTCCACGTCTGCGTAGCTGGTCTTCCGTGGATTGAGGATACGATCGTGTAGCACGTACGACTCAAGGAGCCGCCAGAGCATCTCATGGTCGACCGAATCAAACGCCTTACTGAAGTCAATTTGCATGATGATAAGCGGCTTAGCTCCGGCCGCCGTGTGCTTAGAAATGAGATGCCGTAGCGTAAATAGGTGGTGCTCGGTGCCGAAACCATGCCTACAACCCGCCTGGCTAGCGGCACGAAGCCCATGGTCTTCACAAAATTTGGTGAGCCGCCTCCCAACAAGGTTGGCGTAGAGCTTGCACAACGGACCCCCACCGTAATACCCCGATAATTATCGCAACAGGATGCGTCCCCTTTCTTAAGATCAGGGAAAAGGGTGCTGGCCGTGAATCCTCGTGGGTACTCACCCCCATAAATACGGTTGTACAATGCCGTCAAGTACGATGCCAAAGCGAACACGGGCCGCTGCCCTTCACTCTCCCTGATTGCGTACTTATAATACTCCGTCGGGACCCCCTCCAGGCCCGCGGATTTATCATTACGCATGGCGCTGAGGCCAGTAATAATTTCAGTTTCCATGAAATCAGTGTTAAGCCACGCCGACCACCTCCGACGATGCTCTACTCGATCCACAAAGCTAATGATGGAAGACAAGCACAGACGGACTCACATGCGAGGCGTTCCTCAGGCAGAGGCCTGAGCGCCGCGTTGAAGGCTCCCTTTCCCACCATCACATGGCAGTGTGCTGCGCCAGGGCCGTTGAGGTTCTGATGGAATATCCAGACGGAGCGAGGCGCCGTTCCACGGGTGGACTTGCTTTCTCATTTGTCAGTAAACTAGCTTTTCGCGGCTCGGGCCTGTCAGTTGCGTGCCGTACTGCCTTGCAAAGGCTATACGATGGCATCGGCGTCATGGGCCGTTGCCGCCCTCCAGCATCAATCAGTCTGTTCAGTACGAGCCATGGGGGTCGGCAGCGCGTCGGTTCTTTTGGGGACGCGGTGGCCCGTGCCCTGCTCGGGTTCATCATTTTGGGACGACATCAAGCGCTGGGTCGTCTCAGGTATCGACTTGCGTGAGGAAAGGATTTCACGGTCCGTCGGGGACACGATGGTTTTCACCGGCGCAGCCGGCAGCAGTCCCGGTATTGACTTCGGTGTGTGCAACGAAGGCGTGCAGCCGGCCGACGATCAACATGCGCATCGCTTGATTCGAGCTTAAGGATGTGCCGCCGGGGCACTGCAGTGTGCAGTCATGGGCTACACAGCTGTCAGGGAGGGGAGCGTGCCCGTATGCGGCGAAACATGAGAGCGGGTATGAGAGCGCTGTGCCAGGGAGAGAGACTTGAGGAAAGGTATCCAGCACCAGAGCGATCTTCTCAACACGCAGCCAGGTTGCAGAGAGTCCCAATCAGCACTGTGTGACGTATTAATGTCGTATTATAAATGTCAAAGCAAGGGGGCGGAGGGAGGCGGCCAAGGGCTTTGTGGCAGTATACGGCCGGTCGCTCCGCTGGGAATGTAATAAAAAAGGTTCTTTGGAAATAATTGAGGCGCTGCAGTGGGACAACTGCACCTGGGCAGCAATGGTGGTCGTCTCAGGTTGGATCTGGGTTGGCTTCGTTACTACGTTTGGCGGGCCCATTCCCGCTAGGTTGTGGGGCATCCCACATAGTGCGTAAAGACGTCTTTTGCAGCCGAGAGGGAAAATCATTAGCAAGCAGTGGGGAACCAACTTCCGGCGTCTTGAAAGGAGCAAGCCCGTCAAGTTAACGTTCGTCGTGCGTATTCCTTGGAGGCGAAGCGCCCCTTCAGACGGGCTTTCTAATATGACCGTTCCGCCCATCCCAAATCTTTCCCCTTTTATATGCGCATGCAGCTTGGCACCTGTTTATGAGTGCGCTGTTGCTGCACCCGGGGTTGGTCCGTAGGGGACCCATTTCTGGGGCCCGGAGCGTCATGGGACGCCGTGAGCAACCCGGAGCATTTAAACGCCTTTCCGCTGATGGCACGCTCCGGGTACCTGTTGGATTTTCCTGGGTTTGATGGGATGGATTCTTCATCTATGTCTTGTGAGTGATCTGATGAGGGACGCCATAGTCGTGACATACTTGATTAATTGAGGTGTCGGTCGCAAGACATAAGGGTCAGCGATCGTCACTTTCAGCACGGCAGGTATGGGTCGCCGTTTGTAAAGCTTACGTGCTCTCGACACACTATTTAAAATGCGACGATACTGAATTTCAAATTCACGCGTTACCATGCCATTCAGTGCCAGCGACCAGTTGCGGGTGCAGAGAGCTTTCGGGCCAGAACAACATAAAGTAGTCAAACTGAGTTACATACATATGCTATGCATCGCCCTCAATAGCTGTCTTACCCTAGCGCTAGGCGGATGTTCAAAAAGTGATACCGATAACCGTTGTCGGCGTTACGGTATCTAAATCTTCTAATTGTCCCCACTCCCCAGCTCAGCTCTAGAGGAGGCAGTCCAGGACCGCCTTCTATATTCTTGGCGTTGCCGATATTCCTAGATAGCACGTAAGAAGCCGGGGCTGGTAGATAGAGGTCGAAGCGCAAGGCGTTGTCAGTCATTGAGATTAAGGACAGCAATGAAAACGTAGCTGAAGTTAGGCATAGCTTTCCTGGAGTGTAATCGGATTACTGATGCTCCAGAACAAGGTCTCGGAGCCCCAAGCATCAGGAACAAATCCAGTAGGAGATTCGTAAGTCTGGTAAACATGTGAAAACGAAAACGCACTGCTTCTGAAGCAATAAAGTTCTTTGTTAAACAGCGCCTCCAAGCCCTCTTCGTGTCCACGTCCGCACTCCTTTTTCCACTTGACGTTTAGGATGGGCCGACCGTTCTACGAGTGGCTCGAGGGTCGCTGCTATGCGTGCAAGATGTGCCATTGCAACCTGGCTGCTGCTTCAGAGCTTGTTTCAAGGTTCGAACGCTTGGAAACCCTAGGTACCCAGCGTCGTGGAACGCTTCGAGTGCCACCATCCGGTCCAATTTCCTATCTTGCAACAATTACTTGCAAAGAAAATGGTATAAAAGAAAGTTTGTGCGCGTAAGAAAGGCGCAGCACAGGGAATGTCGCTTGGCCAAAAGCACGCTCTACTTTTTGCCGATGTTGTGGTGCAGTCCACAGTAGTCACAAGATGAGGTCCTCATCGGAAATTGAGTCCTCGCGTGATATACGCAAGAGTTACTTGTCCGGCGCTGTCCGGCGCTGCTCATGCGGTGACGCGGCCGTTTGGGCAGCGGCTCCCATGGGCCCTAGCTCTTTGCTCTGGTGCCTCTTGCTCTCCGTGCTTGAACTCTTACTGCGTCCTTTCTCAGGCAATTTCACAGCAAGCACGGCCGCGCCTACTTGTTCAACACTGCCGTCAATCTGACCACCGGTACTAAGGAGGAGCGAATGATGACCACTGGACTTCATGTCGTATGCGATGTGTACTGCTCAAAATGCATGTGGCCTCTGGGATGGCGATACGTAAGTTCGACTTGTGCCGTACATGCCTTGGCGACGTACACTTTTAACTCCCATCCACGTATACACACGTAACCGCAAATGATGTTACATTTTATCATGGTTATAATGCTGAGAGTGAAACTGCCATTTAAGATTTTATTTAAATTTGGATTGCCAAGAACAGCTCTAATAATACCGTTGCTTGTATACGGCCTGCCGTACAGGAGCTTGCATATGAGGAGTCGCAAAAGTACAAGGAAGGTGAGCTCAGCTCTTAGGGGGTGCGCCGGGTCGTCTAGCTCCCCCTAAAGTGGACTTTATCCTCAATGCCAGCAGCATCCCTTACCTTGCCCATGGCGGAGTTTCCGCACGGGTTTTTCGAAATTTGCGAGAAACCAAGCTTTTCAGCAGTATGCGATGGACGCATGTCCTTGGTTCCGGAGCTCGGTGGCTCCTGTTTGGTTACGGCAGATGTGTCTCTGCGTAAGTTTGTACTTCTTGGAGGTTATCGTAGCGCTACGGGCGCTCGCCCAGCTGGCAGCAGCAGCAGCCCGGACCCGTATGCTAGATAAAAAACCGTTTTCGAGGCTGTTTTAGCAACCGTTTGTTGCTGTTGTTAATTGTCGGTGCGCCCTTCTCCTCCACCCTCCCTGGATTTTGTTGATCATCGGCCCAACGGCGCTGTATAGCGTGTTAACGAGATTCTTCGCAATAAACTCCTTTGTTCAATTGTTTTCAAATTTATATTTGCTTGAGATTAGCCGGAAGGAAAACTCCTTTTAGAAATCTTGTTTGCAGATCCACAGGCTGCTTTAACCAGCACCGAAGGATTTTAACCGAGCAAACATGGAACCGCGTTTTCGGTCTCGCTAAGCGACTGTTGTAAGAAGGGTTCTGCTCCCTTTGGGCATCTCCCCGAGTACTGCCCCTGGTGTTACAGCTGTCCTACTGCCTTGCTGGCTGCCGTACATGCAGGCAAAGTTATTCTCGAGCGCGCGTGTGTCATTCACCTAAACCCTTCCGAGGACGGCGAGGACTCCTACGACGACGGCTTCGAGACGGGCAGCGACGACTACTGACCCAGTAACCGACAACTACTCCCGCACATTAACAGACAACTGCCCAACATGCAGTCGGTTGGCAAAGTAAATTGTACGACATATATATGCAACTAGATCGTCCAGTGCGTTGGCCGTCTATATTTGTTTTCTTGCCGTTGCCGTGGCCCTTTGCGAGAGCGCTACTGCCCCATCCCTGTCTACTTTCTATACGGCGACGATCGGTTTCCTGTTTCCCTGGTACGGCGGCTCCGAAACCATCGTGGCTCAGGGGAGTAGTAGTCCTGGACCTCCCGCCACGATAACGAGAAATGTCTTTTTTAGGTGGTGGTGGAGCAACGGCAATGGCGGCAATGGACGGAATTACACATGCACGCAGCAAGGCATTAGGTTTGTGCCGACATGGCTCGGTGGCAAAGTCCTGTATGCGTTAGTTTAGCAGTGTTTGGTAGCGCCTGCGGTGTAGCGATTGGATCGACGGAACTGCAACCCTGGGGGCCAAGGCCAGGGCGGCCGTATGCAGTCTGGCCCTGTCTCAGCTGTTTGATTGACTGGGTCTGCAAGCTGCGGCTAGCTGCGCTTACTTCCTAAAGCAAGTACTCCTTTTAGGAACTTATTGCAGGTCCATTTGTATTATTATTATTTATGCTACGACAGTGTTTGTTGGTAGTTAGTGTTCGTTGGTGCATGCATCGACACGTGAATAACCAAGGCCATTTCAATGTACATTAGCATTCTGGGGCGGTGTCGCGGAGACGGGCAATTACGGTTACCGCTGTTGTTCTCCAAAACTTTCTGAAGTTCATCAGGATCAGAGGGACGCGCATGGACTCGGCCTGCTGGTGGCGCTGCATGTAGATGTCCCACCTGACGTATGCGTGACGATGGCAACTGGTCAGCTGGTGTAGTAATTGGAGTAATTGGAGAGAGAGAGAGATAAATGTTGACAGAAGCAGCAACGCTCTTGCTGCTGTTTGTCAAGTTGCTGATTTATATGGGTGGAGTTCATCAGTAGGAGGGAGGGCATGCTGCCGTACGAAACCTTGAATGTTGTGCCTGGTCATCTCTCCTTTTCAAGAAGATTTTACGGTGTGCTTTCTTAAAGAGTTAATTGCTGGCTGCTGGAATCGCAACCATGACCATGGCAGCGATACGTGTATGGGCGAATGGGCCGACAGCAAAAAGGTGCTCTTGAGACCTGCATGCATCCTAGCCAAATGTACAAGGTGTACAACTGTACGAGTGTACGACATGCGTTTACGATTTGTGTGGGTTCCTGCATATTAACGAGTTGGTGGGAGTTAAGCGTCCATCGGCGGCAGCAGGTGCCGTGTACTATGTATGTATGTATTATTGTGTCTGCTCGGGGTCGATCGGTGTCCGTTGGTCCTTCTTGTACGTTAGGAGCGAGGTATAATAACTACTGCCGGTCCGTGGTTCTTGTTATCTGGAAAAATAGAGAATTTCAAACCTCCAATAGTTGAGGACACAGATAGATTAAGGATGATTAAACCCTTGGGTAGCTAAAGGGAACCCGACCGCGGCCAAGGGTGGGCTTCACTGCACTAGAAATCCTTCGTTTTTGTCGTCCTGGTACCTATTGGTCTTGGTAGAAAATGCTTGTTATGTGTACACACATGTGTGATGGCGTGGCTGCTAGCGATGGCGGGGGTCTGGTTGCGGTGGCAGTGTGCGTGAAGACGGTAAAAGGTGTTGGCGGGAAAGCTAGGCGGCGGTGTGAAAGGTGCTGCTGCTGATAGTGCTGATCAACCGGGCGCGCGGCCAGCAGGCCACTGAAGGCAGGGCGATATCTGTACTGGGAATATCTGTATTTGACTCGTGCGTCGTGTGTGTCGGCTGAATCGAATGGCCGTGAATCGAAATGACGAGTCTGTGGAAGGACGGATGCCAGTAGCCACTGATAGAGCTTATATGGACGCAGCAAAACACCTCTATATTTATTGCAGAATCATATGAGCGGTTCATTGTTTGCGATTTGCCGTGTCGACAACTGCTGCTTTGCGGATACATTAGTTGGTGAAGCTCAATATATAGAAGTGGTGAAATGGATGGTGTAATTTTATTGTAATAAGGACAATGGTCGAATGTGCGTGGGTATCTTCAGAAGTGACGACCTGCCGAGAAACTACCAGCGGGTATACGTACAAAAATATCCACAAGGGAGTGCACTGGGTGGCTGGCGGGCGAGGTGTGGTGTGGTTCTTCTGGTGTTCAAGGTAGATAGTCCCCTTCGGTGTGGGGAATATACGAAAAAGGGTTCAGATGGCACGAAGGTTCTCCAGGTTTTACGAACATTGCGAGGATGAGGGAGCGTTATTAGCTCTGCTTCACGGGTGAACGAACGGGGAAAGGATGGCCGATCCATGCATGGTTCTCGGCTCCGGGGGGTTTGAGGCTTCCTAAGCTTGGAAACATAAGTTTTCCCATGTACGGCACAGGGAAGCCATGCCACTTGCTGTTTGTGCCTTACTGTACGCCGTACATCGTAAGCACAGTCGCATCATCTACTTGCGGTCCTGAGTCCTCCAATCATCTCCAGTACGTGATTTCTGGTGTTGTGTCCGGGGTGTTTGTATCACGGGATTCTGACATCCGCCAATCGGTGCATTTTCTGTACCTGTGATTTAACACTCTGGTGCCCTTGCTTGGGTAGTTTGGGTTGTAATGATTGATGATCGTCTTGTCCCTAAGTCAATACCTAGGATACTTCGATTACCACACGCACGATATGGCTCTTGTTATTATTGTTATTATTGCCTTTTGTGGCCGTTTTGTGGCCGTTGTCGCCGCCTGTGCAGCACTCATCATGCATCCTTAAGTTGACCTGCGCGCCGACCAGGAACGGAGTTGGGCCGCTGTCGACCCGGCAGATTCCGTTCGATGCTGGTGGTGGGTGCCGAACCTGAGCGATCCACTGAAAAGTTGATTAAGGTGACTGGATGAGGGTGCCCCGAAATACCGGGGAAGGCAGGGTTTCGCAGGGTAGCTGTCACGGGTGAAGATATATATACCCCCCTGTTCCACTTATCATACATCCTGCACTCTATTTTACTTTGAACTTGCTCACTCTATCATGCGCACTACTGTCACACGCACGTGATGCTTTCCGAACGGTGCTAGTCACAATAACCCATGCGACATTCTTTCCGTGTGACTGAGCGGGCATTCGATCATCTCTACCACGTATGGATGGAGGACTTGTTGGTGTTGGCGTCTTGTTGATTGTCCATTCAGGATTGCATGTATGTGCGTGTCTGCACTGTCACGTCTGATCGGCGGCATGGGGGTGTATCCGCCCCCGTGTGCGGGTGCGGTTAAACAAGTCCTACTTAACCTCCGGTGGTGGAACATGGAATGGCGAGATCGAACCTGGATCAATCCAGGGACATGCGCTTTGCCGCGCCTTTTGCGCATATTTTCTGTGTCTGGAGCCGTATAGTAGAAATTTATGTAAGTTGATTGTCGTATACGGTATGTTGTTGTCTCACTCCACTAGCTACCTATACAAAGAGAGCGATATAGGGTCGTCTGTGTTGTTTGTGTTGTTTGTCTGGAAAACGGGCTCCCCGCCCTGCTCACAAACGCGATACCAAATGACAGAAAGGAGAGAATCAGGGCGGAGGAAGAGACAGAACCCTAAGACAACGAATAACAACGGGATAAACAAGGGAGAAAGAACTCAAGGCGAAAAAGGGCAACCGCTCATACACACGCCAGGCATCTTCCGCACTAAAAGCCAAAACCAAAGAAGAAGACGGGGCGAGAGAAACCTGCAAACGCTCCCAACCTCTGCGGAATGCACCCAATAAAAAAACGCCTCCTGCGCAAGGCTTGGGAAAACCCAACAAGTCATGAACAGTGTTAACGGCGCTAACATAAGGCTGCACAGTGCGGGCTTGAAAGGTACCTTTAGCCGCCAAATACTGATCCCACAGGAGGCCGCATGAGGAGAGGCCGGCAGGAACTCCAAGCCCTCAACCACACAAAAACGCACAAAGGACGCGAATGGAACGCACGAAGGACTCGTAAGAACGCCACGTCTTGGCGCCAACACGCGACATAACGACCTGCGCAATCTGAACGAGGCGCGCAGAATGGTCCTGCCCAGGGGCCGACGACTGTAACTGCGAAACGAGCAAGCTAGTAATGACCGGAGGTGCCGCCACCTTATTGACATCAAGCACATAACGGGGCGCCACACTACCAACCTCGCGCGGGCCCCGCAAGAGTGCCCAATCTACCGCTGCACTCGGACCACCACGACCTCCCAACTCGGAGGGGGAAGGAAGACCCCCGAGCCTCCCTCCCCTGACGTGAACAACTCGGTGCTCGATGGCAGGAAGACCAGCTCCACTGCTAGCTCCATTAGCTGCTGCCACCACGGTTGAGCGGTCCAGTAAGGCACCACCAGGGTAACACAGCCCGCTCTTCTCGAACCTTCTGCACCACGGCCAACAGAACGGGAGAAAACATTGTTGCAGTCTGCATATCTGTCGTACCGTCGAGGCGAATTGCACGTTACGACGTGACCCCACATTGACACATGACACGCAGACTACTGAAATGCACGGCCCTCCCCGCTTGCATCTCGCTATCTGGCTGCATGAACCTGGGACTGCAACATGAAGAGACATCGTGGTCCTGCCGCCGCTGCTACTGCCACTTCAGCTCTCGTACATGTTTCATGGGCGGACTGTGTGGTCTTGTCGACGCGAGAGGTATTTCATGCCGTGGAGGGCTGTGGCTGTCGTGACGGAGATCCATGATCTACGTGTAAGAACCCAAGCACTAAACAAGCGCAAGAGTGCGGGTCGGGTCGTCGAGGGAGTAGTGAGATCACCTTGACGACCTAGCTAACGAAGTTTCAGTGTAATGACGGTTGAAAGTTCATTGAGTATGTAAGACCCAAGGGGACAGATAACAGCTTGTGCTTGTGTTGGCGCCGTCACGGTGGACGTGCGAGTGTGCGAGTGAAGGTGTGGTGGAGTGGAAAAGGGGAGAGGAGGGGAGATGGGAACACGTCCATGGGCCCGAGTCTCTCAAAAATACAGAAAGCGACACCGCACGCTGTGTACACACGATGGCTGCGCCGTAAGTGGAACTCGTCGGCTTAGTATCACGTCGCCACCTAAGATGGCTCGCTGATGGCTTTCGCAGGAAAGGCCGCATATCACGGGTGCATCATTTCTGCCCAGGTCCCCGCCGCTGTTCCAGTTTCTCAATCTTCCTGTACCCTGT